AATCCAAGTATTAAATAAGAGTAAACTCATCCAGAATATTGGTATTTTGGTAGGTTCAGAAAATCATTACTGTGTAGAAAGCACCTTAGAGATTCTGGCAAGAAAATACTACAGAACTCTAATATGTTATACTGTTGCAATGATATCTTGAACACTTTCAGGTTCTTGAATACCTAAAATAGTTGATGAAGATGAATGAGCTGATTAAACAGAGGAAAGCTTAATATAGCTCTGTAGTGAACATCACCAGTAGTGGAAGAGGAGATGGAGAAAAATGTGTGACATTTTAATTGAATGCTAGAAACGTATATGTTTATTAAAAGGTTATTGTGCCTCTATATGCCGATGTTCTTCATAATTTGTTATCACTTTTGAATCGTCCTCCAACAAAAGGATGTTATTGTGAAACACTGTAAGAAAAGACACATATTTCACTTCTTTTTTGTGATTCCCACTGAAAACTACTCATCATTCTAGATAAATGTGAGGGGAAGAAGCAGGCTGCAAAAAACATCAAGATAAAGAGCAGGATGTTCTATACTCTTAAGTCCTAAAGATACTGCCCTGTATTCTGGACAGGTCAAAGAAAACAGTGATTTCTCACTGGGTGTCTATTTTCAAGGATATATAAGTTACAGCTTATTTTTTCTTTCCAGACTTACTGACAATGCTGTTTGAAGAGATAATACTTTTAAAATCTAAACATAAAAAAATCCAAACAAAACAAAACAGAAGGTTTTCCTCTGATTTGCTGTCACAGAGGTTGATTTCGAGTTTCTGGCTATGGGCAGGAAGAAGTAAAAGCCAGAAGCAGATAATGGAGCTGGGGACAACATGCTGGGACAGGACAGCTTTTACCTTGACTTATAAGGAGCTTTTCAGGTTTTGTTGGTAGTGGACTGAAAGCAGAGGTGTAGGAGAGAATTCTGGTCTGCAACAGTCAATAACATAGTCAGTAACCTCTGAGTTGAGACTTCCCTTAATGGCTGTGTAGTGTGAAGAGGACAATGCACTGCATATTGTGCATTTCATCAGTATAATTGACATGATAACATTGTTTGGGATAAAAGCAGCAGGAAAAGTAGGAAGTTTGATGAAACTGTATTTTTTGATACGTAAAAATCTGTAGGTGTCATGCCCATACTCACAGTCTCTTTGTTTGATATCAAACCTATACCAGTTAATATAGGGCTATTTGAACAGATAATTTCTGTCTTCCACTGAAATATTGCATGAAAATGAAACAATCAGGCAAATAAGGAATGATCAAAATGTCATCCATGAAACAAAATATTTTCTTATGTTGATTTTGTTCTTCTACTGATTCTGTTTCTTTTTTTCTGTTCTTCTGAGTTTCTGTTCTTTCTGAGTTCTGTTTTTCTGAGTTTGCAAAGATTTTTCCAACATGAATTCCACCTTGGAAACTGTGAAAACCCATCTATATGTTTGGAAAATATGGCTCCACTAAATATCTCAGATATTCTAATTTTTTATTAAGACTTGAATGTTTTGCTACCATGGTATTTTGTTGTGATAATGTCACCATGTCATAAAGTCTAATTAAAATTTTTATATCTATTAGCCTTACTCAGCCTTTCTTTTATAATTTTAATAACATATTATTTTTTGTATTCGCTGGGATCATTCCAATTTCCTTTGGTGTAAACCTGAACAGAATTTGACCTAATGGATTATATTTATTGCTATTATAATTTCACTTAGTTTAGTGGCTTAGCTAAAGAGTAAATTTTTTCTAACATATAATAATATTTACTTTTTATAGAAAAGTAAATTTTGATAAGGTATTCCAGCTATCAATATTTCTTTTCATGACAGCAGCCAGTAACTGAGATTTCCCTGACAGTACCAGAAATAACAACAATTTTTTTCACGTCCTTGCTTCAATGCGTTTCAATTTTAAAACAGCTTTACTGTTCTCAGAAGAAGACTTTTTTGTAATCTGATTTATAGTGATTTCAGGCACTTGGCTGAAAGCAAAAGGGGGAGGAAGAAAGGAAGCAGCCTAAAGGGCAAAATCAACTAGGATTCAGCTCTATTTATAATTGGAAACATCATAATATAATGCCTTCATTGGCAGTTGTCTCCATGCTGAAATGACATTATGACCACTCACAAGATCTGAAATGAATTATAAAACAATCAGAGAGAATTAGCTTTTACTGATCCATTCAACTAGACCAATAGTTACAGCATTTTATTTCTATGGGGCGATCTATGCTGTAACTTGTTGGTGTAGAACCAGAGTGTTAATGACATTACCTGTCATTTTTAACAAGGATGCGCCAAGATAAATGCTGCAGCATGCTACAAAATGAATAGGAGTAGAAATTAAACATGCTTGGCATTCTTTGCTTTTCACATGCTGTGCAATGAAAAATTCTGAACAAGGGAAATACCAATTACACTATTCCAAGAAAAGGCTGTAGCTGCAACAATGTGTATTTTTAAGGTGTGACATTGTTAACACCCAGTGGATCCTTACAAAACGCCCCGCCATCCATGTTGTTATCCAGGCAACAATTCAAAAGCACAGGAAAATACTTAAAAATACAGAAATATAAAAGCCTTCAGAAGCTTCCTATGTGGTTGTCACAAAACCTTTAGAGCAACCTTCCAAAATCAAGCTAAAAACTATCAGAGTATTCTTTTATTGGAAACTAAATGATAGTGTATACAGTACAGATTTTCTAAGCTGAGAATATAATTAGTACAGTCACAAATGTACTCACTGATCATTTTGCTATTATTGCTATAATTAAAATTCTGAGTTTTAACCTTTTACAAACTGCAGGTAGAACAGGGAGAATTTTCAAAGCATCTTTTTACTTGGAAGAATACATTGTCTTGGTATTGTCTGGTTTCTCTGTACTGAAATGATGGCAGTAAAAGACAAAAAGGTAAGACTACCACAACTCAGGGTGACACTTTCAAATGCTCTGGGTGCATATGTGTGGTTGGTATCTTTTTTTGGTGATGTACACAGCACCAATCTATTCATGTTATAATATCTTGTCCTCTTTCTTTATAGCAAAGATTAAAGCACCTAAAAACAAGAGATTTAATGTGTAGGACTCAGATGTGAGTCCAGATGGGAACTGAACACTGCCTTAAGAGGACTGACAAAAGGAAAATGGAGTCCTCTTCCCTGACATTCTACAGACCTTCATTTTATCCTCTGTCTCCAGACCGAAGGGGTTTAGTCTTTCATCCTTCCTCACATGGAAAATATCCTTTACCTGTGACCATTTTTCTACTTTTCTCTGAAGTCTGATGTTGTTCTTATATCTCCCTGAAGATGGAAGAACCAGCAGCAAAGGCCAAATTAAAACCTCTCTTCATGCCACAGCCATCCCATGCACCCAATCCCACTGATACACAACATGGCACTGTGGAAAGCTTAGGCTGGACTCCCATTGCTGCAGCCCCTTTTGTGAGCAGCCATTGTGAGCAAATTCAGGTGTAATATATCCTGTTTATCTGCAAGAAGAAAGCACATGTTTTTTTATGATCAGGTCTTCGTCTGGGGAAAAAAAGACTAACGAATGGGAGATGGAGAAATGAGTATTTGCAAACTGATATGCAATTGAATAGAATGAATGCAAAGAACATTGCATGCAATCAAAACCAGGTGGTAGTGTCTCATCTCCATTCTGAACAGGTTACTATGACTCTAGATGAGGAAAAGTGGTGAGAAGAATGTATCTGGAATTCCAGAAGAGGAATCATAGGCCACAGGTTTTGTGTTGGGTCCATTTCTGTAAAAGTGCACTGACAAGGCTGCTTTAGCTCTTAGGATAATTTTCCTGCTTTTTTTACCCCTGAGATTTCTCTTCAGACTTTGTGAAAGAAAGAAAAAATGTTGTGTGGAAGAAGAAAGAGTAGCCAAAGCAGTGACAAAGAAGACAGAAGAGACTATTCAAACCCTTAGCCTAGAAGCATATCTCATATCTTCTTGTGATTGTGATACTCTGAATGTGAGAGCTGTTTGAATTTTCCAGTGATAAGAGTGATTAAGCATGCATTGCATTAGAGAGCCTTAGATTCAAAACCAATGGAGTATGTCTAAGCTCATTCCCAGAAAACAGCCAGAGAAATGCAGATAGATTCTTAGCTGACTGCCTTTCCTATTAAATATATTGGCTTTGAAAATAGTGAAACATATCCCATTCACAAACAAGTTGCTGAACAGCTTTATGCTGTATGAAAGTCACTAACAGACCACTTTCACAGCCATGGCAGCCATTGAAAGTAATTTGTGGGAACTTCAGCTGATAAAATAAATTTCAGGTTTCTGACATTTATGGAAAATAATATACTTTCAGAATTTCATAATGATAGAGGAAAGCTAGGATTTCATGAAATTGCAAGTACAGCTATAAAGTTGCTGGGCTGCTTTCCCTGTCTTTTAAAGAGGCACATCCTGAAAATGGATACTCTACGCAAGAATGTAGTTCTGGAAGAAGCATTACATTTTCTATAAATTAAGACTTGAAGTTTCTCTGTTTCCCCTGTTTATCCAAACATGTGCAGAGGTTTTTTTTCCTTCTTCACACTCAGCACAACGTACAAGTTAAGCATTTTTCTTCTTTATAGGATGTGGCATAATTTTCTACTTGCAGCAGAATATACATCAACTCCTTGCTAGTCAGGCTGCCAATCACACATTAAGAAAAAAAGCACAACAACTTTTAGGGGTGAATTAATGCTTCTGATGTTAGGCTGCTTGAAGTGCAGATCCCTACACAGCTCTGTAAGCATCCCAGACTTTTATCTCCAGTTCCTTACAGCTTAATAGCCTAATTTTAAGACTGATAGCTAAAAATCTAATGGGGCAGAAAATAGATTTTCCTTGTGCATTCAACATTAGTTGTCCTGCTGAAAGTTTATGGGATGAAATGAGCATCTGCCCAAGGGATGAAGAAGTCATAAATATATTTATAAATAAAAGTGGAAAGAAAATATTCAATGTCAATACCTACAGTTGTCCAAAGGCTGCATGATTTCCCTCCTTTTCTATTTATATCTCCTGCAAGTTCTTTCTGGATACTTCATCCTGTGATCCCTTATGCCCTCTCTTCATCTATATCTGTGTGTAAAAATAATTGATAAAAAGGGTAAGAAAATGAAAGTATTGTCTGGATGGAACATAAACTAAACAGGAATGTCATGAGTAGTTTTATGTTAAGCAGGTACTGTACTGAAGCAGGGAAAGCTACAGCTGTGACAGCTCAAAACTAAGAGAACCATTTGGAAGTATTCAATAACTAGAAAATGAGGATCTGAAGAAGCCATGGAGGGGGAGAGGGAGAGAGAGAGAGAGAGAGAGAAGCATGAGGGTACTTGCTATTAGGAGCTGGGTGTACTGGAGACAGCAACCATCCATCAACAACTTGTTACCAGAGTAGAGAAACAAGATTTTTTTTACATGCAACCTGTTCCAGACAAAAGGCACTTTGCTTTTCGCATTGCAAAAAGTGACTTATGTGACAGTAGAGATAATTTACACCTGGTCAGAAAGTATCTAAGAACTAGAACTTTACCTCCCACTGCCAAAAAAAGACTGGAACCTTAGGTAGGAGACACATCTGTTGAACTGCCAGTAACTGGGGATGGAGTATGTCCCTGAGAATCATTTATGCTTTTTTTTTTTTTTTTTTTTTTTTTTTTTTTTTTTTTTTTTTTTATATAAACCCTTCAAATTCTGGATACTAAACACTTCTATCAAATGGACATCTCTTCAGGGCAGGAAAGCATTCAACTGAAATGGCCAAATATGTCAAAATACATTTATTATCCTGTAATGAATGATATAGGTGGAGTGGACCAAGGGAGAGGAAAAGAATTACACAGCAAAAGAGGGACTTACTGTACTATGAGCAGTGTATAGTTAGGGAGCTTACATAAATTATAGTGTATTGGATTTCAGACAAGGTCACCAGATTTACCCAGCACAAGACTGATGAATTCAGAAGGAAATGAGAAATATTATTGCAGTACAAAAAGAGCTTCAATCCAGCCTGTACAGTCCTTCCCTTTGCATAGAGATCATTTTGTTACTAGTTTAATCAGGACATTTTAAAGTAGCAAGTGACATGCTACACTGCCATTGAAAGTACCTTTGACAATAAAAACCTTAACAACAACTGTTTATTTAAGAAACCCTTTTTTTACATGTTCTTTTATCTCACTGGTTTCTGGTTGCATCATCCTGATTTGATTGTATTACAGCATCTGCTTTCAAACTTGTTTTCCTAGTCAATGAAAGGAAAAGCACAGAAATTAGAGAAATGGAAACTGCAGGTAATTTTTCAAGCTTTCAATTGTTTTATGTTTGGCCTGAACAGCTGTAATAAACACCTTACAAGAAGCAATGGGCTGGAAAGAACTTTCTTGTTTGATTCACAAGGCGTCATTTGGAGTTATGGGAAACTAAAGAAAGGGCTCTGATCAGAGCCCTTTTTTTCTTTTTTTTTCCCTTTTTTTCTTTTTTTTTTTTCCTCTATATATTAACAATGAAGGTACTAAGTTTCACAGCCTGAAGAATTCAATAACTTAAATAAGATCAACCAAGTAGCTAAGATAATTGTGAAAATTGTCCAAAATGTGAAAAGAAAAAAAAAAAAAGAGGACATGAAAGCAATAGAGAAATGCTGTATTTTGTTGAGTTTCTGTGGCTTTAATGGACAGTTCAGAGCTATGACAATATAAACAAACGGAGTATCCAAAAGTAGCTGTCCAACCCACTGTTGGGTTTCTCCGTTCCAAACTCATTTATGCATGTTGCTTTACAGATGGTAATAGATAGCATCAGTGTTCACACACAAAAGACAAAGATGCCTACTCTTGTTTTACAGCAGACCTGTGTGCAAACTGGGAAATTTTCAGATTTTCTGGACACTTTTATGAGATGTCTGAGCTCTGTCCAAGCCTTGAGATCCAAAAGGGAACTTTTAGATATCAGGAGTCCCCTACAGCTGGGAAGCAGCTCGGTACACGTGTGTTGCATGATCAATAGGCCATGAACAGGAGATGCCATTCCTCTGAATCTCAAAGGCAGCTCTCCCCTTTACCTTAGCCTGTGAAGAACCCAGTCAGAGACACAGCTGTGCACAGAACCAAAGGCAAACAGTAATTGCTGGTTTTGATACATTGGGAAGTGACAGAGGTTTGCAGGGCCTGTCAGCCTTCCTTGGTGAGCCAGCAAACACTGAGGTGCTCGACAGCCCTGCTTGCTGCTTAAAGCTGAGAGGAAATCCCAAGGTGCTGCAGAAGATGCCTGGCTCTGCTCTTGAGTGGCGTATCCTGCGATGCCACTGGGCACTCAGCGCCAGCCTGCGCTTGGAAATGCTCTGCGCCTCGCCACATCTTCCCCCAGAGAGCAAGTCGCAGAGTCTCATGTAAATAATGCATTTGGAGATTACTTTTACAGCAGGAATCTGTTCTGATCAAACTAAATTTTTGCTTCGTGAAATATTAATTCACATAGGGATTCCATTTTTTCCTCAAAACTTTCAGTCATCATAGTGCATAGTCTCCAAAGGTGACCTTACAGAAATATTTTGGTACTCTGTTGTAAATGGCCTAACCTGCTTCTTCTTGGTCACTTTAATGAAGCTTAATGAGAATATCTCTTCACCTATACCTGGCCACACAAAGCTGTCTATCTAATGTCTATACATTAAGTAACTGATTTTGGCATGCAGAATTTGCATAGAAAGAAAGAGATTCTTGCCTTTTTATCTGCTCTGCTAAATCGCAAACCCACTGTTAAACTGCAAAAGGTTAATGAAGTCCAGACTTGTCTGTCAGGTTCCAAAGTGGGAAAAATGTCAATTGCTGTTACTTAAAAATGTCATTAGCACATCCATTTAATTATGTATGAGAGACATGGTTACCACAGAGACTCGTGTGCCGTGTGAGCAAAGGAAAATTTATTAGAAGTGAGGTTGGAAGTCCCTGACTAACACCCTGCCCACTCTCACTACCCCAGCTCTGTGCAGGCAGGCAAACATTATGTACATTATGGTCATTACTGGTGACTCTGAGTTAGGAAGATATATATGTGAGAAAGTAAAGGAAAAAAATATGTTTGGAAAAGGGATGTTCAAAGCTTGTGGCTGGAAATGGCAGTTCCTCACAGATTTTTATCTACTCTCAGAACAGAATATGGGAACTATGAATTCATGGGACTAAAGAGAAAAATGCCTACCTTCCTGGGCCAGCTAAAGTTCTTTCAGATTTATCCACCTCAATACACGTGGGTGGCCAGTACTGTTTCCATGCAAGACTGCTCATTGTGCATGGCAGCATTAAGGCTGCAGCTGGTGATAGGTGTTCTGCTGGGGTTTGAAACATTTGCCCAAAGCAGGAGGGCTACATTTCTGACTGATATGACATTTTGCCAGCAGACAGGTTGTGATTTTAAAAGCTGTTCTCCTTACCATAGGAAAACCAATGACTTCAGATAACAAGACAAAACCACAGAACAAGGTGTTATCCTTGCTTTGGAAAGGATATCTACTTATTCAATATTTTCGGGTTTCAGAAGGCTTCGATGCTTTTTAAAGATAATCCTTTTTGCTATTTTTCAGCTTTTCACTACTGTGCTGTTCTCCTCACTGTACCAAGAGGAATCATAGAATAGAGTTGAAAGGGACCCATAAGTATCATCAAAATCCAGCTCCTGGCCCTGCACAGCAGAGCTCCAAAAGCCATATCGTGTGCCTGAGAGCATTGTCCAAACACTTCTCAAACTCTGTCAGCCTTGGTGCTGTGACCACTTCCCTGGGGAGCCTGTTCTAATTCCCAAAAACCCTCTGGGTGAAGAACCTTTCTTTTCCTAATATCCAACCTAAAGCTCCCCTGACACAATTTAAGGGCATTCCTATGGTGCTCACCCTGGTCACCACAGAGAAGACATCAGTGTCTGCCCCTCCTCTTCCCCTCGTGAGGGAGTTGTAAATTACAATTATGTCTCCCCTCAGTCTTTCTTTCCAGGCTGAGCAAGCCAAGTGACTTCATCTGTCATCACACAGCTTCTCCTCAAGACCCTTCACCATCTTTGTAGTAGTAATTTCTTGAAAAAATTCTAGCAAATCAAGAAGTCCCTCCTATACTTAAGAAAAATCTGCAAACTTTAAAATGTATCTAAATTTAAATACAAATATATAAGTGAGAAGTCTATAGAAGTCTTTCTTGAAATGCCAGATCCAAATCCAGACTCTGACTTCTGTCCTAGCTCCAGATGGTGTTTCCCAGTATAACTCTGTTTTCAGTTGCTTTTACTTTTGTCAAACTTGAATGAAGCTGAAAACATAAATCACCTAGCCCACGTGTTATTCAACAGTATCATAATGATGGCAGGGTTTTTTGGGTTGTGACATCTGCGTAGAATCATGTCTGCTGCTTGGTGCTGTGGTTGCTGTCAGCTCTGTGAGTCGCTGTGACGCTGCAGGCGGTACAGGGGAGCCCCCTCACCAAAGCCAACTTTTGTACTATATAGTTCACACCCATACAAAATGTATTTTTTGGAACTGCCAACAGGTGCAGCCCTGCTGCAAAGACAGCCAGTCTGCAGCTCTTGTATGGTGCAGCTTGGAAACAGTGCTGGTGCAACTCCGGCACCACAGTAGTGCTGTTGGGCTGTGCTTGTGCAAAGATGCTGCCCTGCTCTGAGTCTTGCCTGGCTGCAGGGGGATGTAACCCCTCATCACCATCCCTCACCAGGGCATCCTCTGCCCCTGGAGTGGCTCCAGTCCAGAAGGAGCCAAAAAAAGGGTGCCACATGCCCTGTAGGGTTAGGAAAGTTGGTTACAGCTATGTGTTAGGGAGAATAATGTACTCAGAGAGTTATAATTTTCACTCATGAAAGATAGTTTTTCACTTAAGATTTTTATTTATTAGAATCACCTACAGTAATTTTTTTTACAGACTAAGTACGGAAACAGCCCAAAAGGCAGTCTTCTTATGGAGGAGGAAGGACTTTTTCCCAAAGGTTATTTCCTTTTACCTCACTGAAAAATGATCACAGAAATCTACTATTTCTCTAGCTAATCTCTCTGTTTAGAGAACCTGGGTGACATAGGG